GCTGGTGGGAGAGAAATACATTTGTTAGGCTCCTGAAGTTCAGTAAAGCATATGAAGTCAAGTTTTCACACATGATTTTAACCCTTTTCATTGTTTATATCAAGATTCCAACTATATTAAGCTGCCCCTAAAATGCCAGTTCATAATTAAACTTTATTTTCAAATACTTGTCAGAGCTTAGTCTTGGCAAGAAACACTTCTTAACTTTTGAACTTTCAGACTGCTGAGCTGAGGGAAATGGCTGGAGTTTTCCTTTGAACAAAAGCCTACATGGGTTGTTTTGAACTTCTTATTTATTCAAATGTTCTGAATACAATGAACCACCTTGGTTGGATATTTATTATTGTTCACCTGCTCTGACACAGAAACTGCAAGCACTATGATAAATGGGCTGAAGGGTCTGATTGTACTGTGGTTCCCTTCTGCTGAAATCTTATTCTGAAAAATTTTCACTGCGACCCTCCCTGGTGAATGTCAGCATCTGTTCTCCCAAGCCAGTTGTATTCAAAAGGACCTGTTTTTTAAACACAAACTTAAAATTTCAAGCACACAACACAGCTCTCATTAAATAGGGGTTTTGGTTGACTCATTATGAAACTGCATAAAGCAAAACAATTAGGAAGTTTTAAAGACAAACAGGCTCTAACTAAAAGGACACAAAGGTGATATGAATAAAATTAGATAAAAGTTCAATACTGATGCTTCAAGTGTAAATTGACTGTGTATGGAGCCACCCCCTTCCCCCGAAATGGCCATTTCTGCACAGAAAAATTTAATAGACTTCTTTGTGTACCTTGTGTCCAGTAAGTGTGCAGAAAGGGTAATTTAAACGTAGGTTATATTTTTTAGAATCTAGCACTTGTGCCATTATTATGTACCATGTTGAATGCAACCCAAAGAATGGTTCCCTGAGTTGGAGAAAATTTAACTTTCGCCTTCCAGCAATTCATGCCTGTGTGGGTTTTAAGAAGAGTGCTAATTCTTTACTTGAAACAAGGACTAGAAAACACTAGGAAGAAGTCTTCTCTTCATAGAAATGTTTGAAGGCAGCTTGAAAGGTATTCCCATTCTGAGAGTGGGCATGCCTCCTTCACACATTTACTTTCTTTTCATGGAAATATAAATGACAGTAAATACAAATGACATGGAATATAAATGACAGTCTAAGTTCTGTACACTATTATAGATTAGGTTTTTAAGCGGAGGAGGAGTTATATTTTAAATTGACATCCCACACCAACATGTGGAACTATAGATGTCTCCATTTCTCTAGTTCAAATTCCCCAATTATATTGCCATGCCTTATGGCAAGGTGGATGTTGCCAAATGCAAAGTAAGGTGGTCTCTGTGATACTGGAACATTGCCCTGGTATGGGTATCTTCACTCAGTGCCTCTGATTGATAGATCTGTGAGCTTCTTTCATACTCTTTTAGATAGGATTATTTCCATATGGGAATTGGCTAAAGCAAGCCTCAGTTATCAAAACCATCTAAAATCAGGGACTACAACCTATCTTTAGGGTTATCTTCTATTTAATCTAATTCTTAGCTAAACAGATTAGAGGTCCACTAAAGAGAAAATCTGGAGCTTCTCAGCAATACCGAGGTGGCATTTGGTGGAACACTCTGACAGTAGGTGCCTAAGAGGTTGCCTGTCTAGGTCTTTTTCCCTGTTTACCCCACCCACCAGTATGAACTTTAGCAGCTATGATTCGGTTGTAAGACTCAGCTTTCTGGCCATGGCTGATTGGTTCAGATTTTCTCTTCTGGTAATGTGGAATTAACAGCTACAGAAAATGAGACCTGCACTGAATTGCACATGTAGAAATTTTTGAAATGGTGTATCTTTGGCTAGGTATATTTTCACCAGAAAAAAAAAAGAAAGGTCCTTCAAGGTTGAGAAGGGAGAATGTTGACATGTCCTGGGGTTGTTAACCAACGTCATAAAACAGTATATGTTCTGACTGTTTAATGAGAAACTGTTTGTTCTGTAAACCTTCATCTAAAGTACAATAAAAAAATTTCTTTTTAAAAAGAAAATGAGACCTGTAGGTTGCTGAATGATGTTAATGTCAGCATGATAAAAATCAGGTTCACAAATTCCTGTTGCTGAGGTCTTCACACTTCCCAAGTGGAGTCTATGAAATTTCCCAGTATTTTTCCAATAAAAATGTTTACTTCATTTTTAAAAGCCCTTTATATTTCTTATAACCAACTATCTTAAATATTACAACTGATTTTGGATAATGTTTCTTCCTCAGCTATCATCCCCTGCCACAGTCTTCTATAGACAAGCTACTCTCCAATAGAAGCTTTCTGTTTGAGCTGGCTGAGTCATTAGCTATATCTATTCTTATGGTCTCCAGAGACTCTCCTCGCTGCCTCTGGCTATCTCTTCTAAAGAACCTTGAGTACATATTGCTGAATAATGCTTATTTTCTTAAGTATTTGGATTTTCTATAAGAATAATAACCTGGGGTAATAGCGATGATTAGTAAATGACATACTCAACAACATAAAATATTAAAGACTTTAGCAATC